AAGCAGCATGGAGGTCCATCGTCCTGCACGCATTCCAGGTCAGATGCTAATCAAACAGCCGCCCCTCCTTCTGGTTCGTTTGGGTGTTTTATTCTTCATCTGTTCTGCTCTGGCCTATGGTTGAAAAGAACCAATCACAGAGCCGATGCACAACAAAATACCCTGACAGCCCAGAATAATAAGAAGAATTAGGGCTCCAGCTAGAGACTGCTGAGGTGGAGCCGCCAGAGATGACCAGGACTCCTGGATGGATGAAGAAAGATCTTCTGTTTGTGGTCTGAGCCATTTAAAAAGCTAAAACAAACTTTATTTCATGTAAAGCTTTGTGTTTTCTCTCGTATTCTCATTACATTTAATTACCAAAATGTTCGCAAAGAATCATTAAAATGAATCCCCTAATGTCTGCTAGCTACTGCGTCTGCTAGCTACTGCGTCTGCTAGCTACTGCGTCTGCTAGCTACTGCGTCTGCTAGCTACTAGCTCAATAGCTGAAGTTTAAGAATCCATTAGCTTAAGTTTAATGATTTCTAACCAAGCAAATTATTTAATGAAACATTATTTTCCAAATGATGTTGTATTTGCATTGAGGGCTGTTCAGTGCTGCAGTGGGTAGCACTGCTGCCTTGCAGCAAGAAGGTTCTGGGTTTGATTCCCCGGCCCAGGGTCTTTCTGCATAGAGTGTGCATGTTCTCCCTGAGCATGCGTGGGTTCTCTCCGGGTACTCCGGCTTCCTCCCACAGTCCAAAAACATGACTGGTAGGTTCATTGGCTTCTCTAAATCCTCTTTAGGTGTGAGTGAATGGTTGTTTGTCTCTGTGTTGCCCTGCGATGGACTGGAGACCTGTCCAGGGTGGACCCCGCCTCTCTGTCCAGGTTGGACCCCTCCTCTCTGTCTTTTAACATTTTGAGCTGAAACATGTTTGATTTGTTGCTGGTTGATTTTTGTTGATGGAAGTAGTGGTGAACTTATTGGGTACGTGTGCAGAATAATCCCACCGTGATCAGTTCTCTGAACACACGGCCAGTTGAATTCCAACAACAGAGATGCAGACACAGAAACCAGGAACCAACATCTTAGAGTCATTTTATTGTTTTGTTCTGCATACCATCCATAGTCTACAGAGAGCCGTTAGCTCAGATAAACTTCCTACAATGCTGAACATAGAAAACAAACCTAGAGCTTCCTTCTTTCATCTAATTGAATTATTTCTACACAGTAATGGTTCATTCATTTGGACACATTATCCCACTTTCACGTATCACAGAAGGATCACTATGGATTAAAATCTGAAGTAGTTTGAGTGTGAAGCAGCAGCATACTGCAGGATTACCTTCTGTAATTCAGTGGGATTAAATAATCTCTGAATCCTGCAGCTCCTTGATTTACTTATTTCTGAATCTATACGGAAAAACTTGCTTAGTCCTTCGACCCCTATGGCTTCGAATTCAAATCCTGCCCCTCTTCCTCCCCCTCCTCTTCCTCCTCCTCCTCTTCCTCCTCCTCTTCCTCCTCTTCCTCCAGCTCCTCTGTGCAGCCTCTCATTTGGCCCCACAGAGGAGCCAGTCTGCCATCTGCTGTCACCCCCATCGGCTGAATGATTTGGTCTCTGGATGACAGGAAATAAAATCAAACACCACTTTTACCACTTTATTCAATAACGGATTAAACTGACATTTATCCTGTAAACCTATCAGAGTGTGTTAAGGTGGAAAA